ATTCCCGGCAAGACTGATGTCATTGAGGGATATCCAAGAATCCAAAATCTCCTGACCAATAAATGTGAGCTTGTTAGAATCCAGGTTGAGGCGCTGCAGATTCGGGACACACTGGAAGACACTGGGTCCACTAAAAGCTTCGATCTCGTTGCCTGATAAGTCAAGCCTTTGTAATGAGCTCCAGGTCCAGGACATGGTCTGTCCTATGACACTGATTTTATTCCACTGCAAGTACAGGTTCTGAAGGCTCACCAACCTCGGGAAAAGGGCCAGGTTGAGCTTGGAAAATTGATTGTGCTCCAGGTGAAGTTCTTTGAGTCTGATCATGCCAGCAAAGACATTCCTGGCTAAACTCCGGATCCGGTTATATCCCAGGTCCAAAAGTTCCAGGTTGCGGCAGTCCTGGAATATTCTCACAGGGATGGTTCTCAGGGAGTTCGACCTCAAATGTAAACTCAGCAGCTTCCTCAAGCCCCGAAACTGCTCCGATCCCAGAGAATGCAGCTGATTATAGGACAGGTCCAAGTTCCGTAAATTGGTCACCGGTCTGAAGGTATTGTTGAGAAAATAGGAGATCCTGTTGGAACTCAGAATCAACTCTTTGAGTCTGCGTATTCCATTAAAAGCATTCTCATCAATATTGCTGATATGGTTATGGTCAAGGTACAGCCAGGTGAGCTGGTTGAGCCCTTTAAACTGATTGTACTTAAGTTTTTGAAGGCTGTTATAGCGAAGGGACAAACCTAAGCAGCCAGCAGATATACTCGAGGGTATCTCCTGTAATTTCTGAGATTCACAATATACCATTTTGCCTTCACACCTACAGCCCTTAGGGCATCCTCGTTCGGCAGAAGAAAGCATTGTCAGTAAGACAGTGGGGGCTATCACCAGTGCTACAGCTGATCCGCTCAGTAGCCTAATTACATTGAAACCTGAAAATAAAAACAACTTAGAAAAGTTATCCCCCCAAAAAAGAATGCGTTTCTTTTTAATCAAGCAAGAGCAGGCATGTGCTTTCTCTTTTAAACATTTAAATCTAGATAAACCACATTTCACATCACATAACCATCTCCTTGTCATCTAAAGAGAATTGCCTTCAGGGTTTTGGTGATTTTTTTTTTAATAGTTAAGCAAGAAACGTGTTCACTAAGCAATTGAATTTATAGCCTTAGAACAGAGCAAGGTAATCTCTAAAATAATTAAGGCAGAAGTAATACACAGACTAGAGGATTCTTTGTTTTTGTTTTTTAAGGAAGGAAAGAAGAAAAATGACAAAACATACCCATCCTTTGTATTGTTCAAAGGTCGTCCTTAGGTCTTGGCTTTGGCTTAGGGGGCCACTTGCGTGACAGCCCCTGTCAGTTGCACTGTAGTGAGTCAGGGCTCGCTGACACCCAGGAAGAAAAATTGGACCCCTTGGGAGATGGACCGATTTCGGAACATTATTCTTTGCCAGCCACGCAGAACACTCCAAGAACAAATAAATCCCAACTCCGCATTTGCAGCAAAACATCGAAATCTTCCTAGGTAATAGGATCTTCATGGATATTACGTTTTTGCATCTTTACAGGTTTTTTTGGGAGGGGGAGGAGGGAACGGGGTGGTGGGGGGGAGGGTGTTAAAAAAAAAAAAAAGCAACTGGCGTCTACAATTTCTTCTTATCCGGAAGCATGATGTATTCCTCCAGGCGACGCGGGGCTACCTGAGCTGCCACATCTGTATTCCAAAGCCCGGCATGTCTGGCGGTGAGCGCCCGGTTCAGCCACAGAGCTGCCTCGGAGCCCGGAAGGCAGGGGAGCCCGGGACCGCGCACACGCTCAGCTCACTTCTGCAGACTGTCATTCTGAAAGCTGCTCGGACTGTTGCTTTGGTTTCAGTGAATGCAGTCTTATGTAAAGCTGCCCCCAGTGGTGAAGAACATTATGGGCATGTGCAGAAATGTCTCCCTTTTATCTTGCAAATGAGCAGGCTCTCGGCTGGAAAATGAATGATTGTTTGGGGTGGCTCGGGAAGAACTGAATGGTCACCGTAATCAATAACGAGCAACATTTTCTGTAATTTCCAAGCCTCGTTTTACAATTTGGCAGTGTCTTTATTGTCTGCGTCTACTTAATTCGCTACACATGTGCCGCCCGAGTTTTTCTGGAGCTGGACATTAAGTTCACAGACCGAACGTCAATTTTTCTTAACCTCAGCGTGGGCTTTGAACCGAGGTTTAGAAGATGATTTACTGAGCTGTTCACAGAGAAGCATTAACTGTCTGCCCACTTGACCTCTAGGAGTGACAGTGATTCTATTACGCAAGGTGTCTCGGGACGCTAGAACACAAACATTTTGTAATAGAGGAGTTAACTAGTGACATAGAAACTCATGTGTCCAAATGCCTTTCTGGTTTCCCCACAAAAATAGATCACTGGTTTAATGGCTTGTGGCTTGGTTTGTTGTTGTTTTGGTTTTTGTCTTTTTTTTTTTTTTAATTAAAAGAGAAATAAACTATTTTTAGTGTGAATAGAAGGATCAAGAAATCATTAGGTTCCCTTTATCCATGCGGCTGCTATTTATTATGCTAATAATATTTGAGCACTTCCTAAGTGCTGTGAGTGGGCACTCCTGTTTTATCTTTGAATAGTATTGTGATGTGGGTCCCCTTGTAACCTTCACTTTACAGATGAGGAAACTGAGACTTGGGGAGGGATGACTTGCTCAAGGTCATATAGCAAGCACCTGGCAGAGCTGAGATGCAGAAGGACACCTCTGTTCTGCTTGAACATCTAACTAGATGATCTTGCGTCGACAACATTGTTTCCTTCATTTTAAAATGACTAAAGTGAAAATTAGCCTGATTGAGGCATTGGGGCAGGGCAGCTGTGGTTAAAAAAAAAAAAAAATCCTTCCTAGAATAGGTTTGTATAAACATTTTTGGTCTGAGTCTTTTAAAGAAGTATTATAAAATTAAAGGAGGGGCAGTTTCATCTAGCGATTAAGAGCATGGATTTTTGCCCCTAAATTCAAATCCTGTCTAAATTTACCAGTTATGTAACCTTGAGTAGGTTACTTATCTTCTCTATGCCTCAGTTTTCTCTTCTACAAAATGGATGTGAGAACAAAAATCCATTGCATAAAGGGTTGAGATTTAAGTCATCTTAATATCTTAACAGTACCTAGAATAACATGTGGCATCTAATAAGCCTACATTAGCTATTATTTGAACATCAACTTTATTTGAATATCAACTGATATTGCATGTTGTTTAGTATTAAATATTGACTATACCAAGTGTCATTAACTCACAAAGATTACTTTAATGAATATTTTTTATATTGTTCACAATGGATTTCTGAAATTCACTCAGTCTTGTCTTCTTTGATACCTAGAACAGCACTTGACACATTATAGATGATCAATACATATTTATTGAATAAAAACATTATTATGGGGGGGTTACAAGTACATTTGATGTATGATAAACTGGTAATGTAGTGCTGGTTTTGTGTGCATGGGATTGGTCCCTGCAGAGTTCTTCAGCCAGTTGTGATTGGATACCATTTTGTAGAAAGTTTTTTTAAAGAATGTGTTGAAAAGGCAAGAAACTGGGAAGTGGAAACATGTAGATGGTCAACAAGTGATCTTCACTCTTCAAGTAGATATCTTGTGTCTTCATAGTTAAACCATAGGCTTCACGAAAATAGTAAATATACTTTTGAATATTACCTTTGGCATATCACAACTTTTATCATCTGACATCCCCACTGGATATTGACAATTTGTACTACTGTATTAAGAAAGACTAAAGGGAATCACATTTAGAATTCCTCTCTTCTGTCTGTTGTTTGAAAGCCTCTGGCTTTTCTTCCCACTTCTCTTGCTTCTCCTTGGGCAGTAGCCATCAAGATGTCTGTTTTGTTTTGCCTTATAACTGCACAGGGCCCCTTAGGATGACTGGAGGGCCCATCAACGCTGTGCTGCTTATTCTTTTCTCATTCCCTGATGACAGAAGCAACGAGGAACCCACTGAGAATGTAATTCTCTCACTTTGCTTTTTCTGGGAGAAATCATGGATTATTTATGGTGAATGAAATTCTCTGCTGTGCCCTTGTTCTCATTTTTTTCCTGATACCTTGGCTTCTGATATTGTCTTACTCCATAGTTCTGACTTCACATTCTCTCTTTAGATCTCATAATTGGTATTTATGTTGGTCTTTTCCTCAAGGTGATGAGTAGCCATTCTTGGAGCAGACCTGATTTCGGGCACTTTGTGTGACCCTCACCTTGACAGTAGTCCATAAGCTGGCATCACTACCAGGTCTGTCCTGGGTCAAGGTAATGAAGTGCCTGAAGAGGAAGACCATCATGAGGCTAGTCGAGAGATATCCAGAATAAAATAATGCAATTCCAAGCCAGAGTGAATACTTGAGGCTCTAGAAATTAATTGCAATACATAAAGTAGCCTTTCAAAAGAAAAAAAAACCCACCACCACAACAACTTACATTCTAAAAGATTTTAGCAATTTGCTAGTGTATTTTTATTTTTTAAAATATATTTTTATTTATTTCATAGAGGAAGGGAGAGGGAGAGAGAAATAGAAACATCAGTGATGAGAGAGAATCATTGATTGGCTGCCTCCTGCACACCCCCACTGGGGAGCAAGTTTGCAACCCAGGATGTGCCCTGACTTGGAATCTGTGACCTCTTTGTTCATAGGTCAACACTCAACCACTGAGCCACACCAGCTGGGCTGCTGGTGTACTTGTCAAAGTTTATCCTCCTTTTGCTCATTGACTGTCATGATTATTTCTGATTTGCCTCTCAACAGAAGCAAAGTTACAGTACAGAATATATTTAGCCAATCTGTTTGCACCTAATACCACATACAGAAGAAACCATAAGCTACCTGACTTCTTAAATTTCCCCAATGAATCCAGGGCCCTAAAGATTTATGCAATTATAAAACATAAGTGTCATGTATCTAAAGGCTTTTTATTATACTTATATAGTACTTCATATTGCTTAATATGTTTTGTTTAAATTAGGTAAATGAATCCAAACTCAGTATCTAATGCAAAATTTCAGACCAATATGAAACTGAATTGCCAAATATAAATTTAGAAAGTCAGGATGTACTGATATGCTAATAAATGGGTTGGCCTCAGAGGTTTCATTTATTTATAAAATACATAGTTTGGGTACCCACTATGTACTAGACACTGTTTCAGACACATGGAGTACATCAGTGTACAAGACAAAGATCTAAGCATACAATCTAAAGAGGTAAGATGGGTAATAAAAAGAAATAAAAATTATGTTATTAGATCATATATACTATAGAACAAATAAAAAAGGATGGGGAAGATTGGGAGTGCAAAGAGTGAGGTGGGTTGCAATTTTAAATAGGATGACTAGGACTATTAAGAAAGTGGCTTGAGTAAACCTTGAAGGAGATGAGGTTGTCAACATTAAATATATATGGGGCGTGGCCAGGGCAAAGGTCCTCAGGTAAGGGCAATCACATGCTCAATGTACAGCAAAGAGGCCAATCAGTCTAGAGTAGGGAGAACTAGGGGTAGAGTAATTGGAGACGAAGTCAGAGAGGTACCAGGTACTGGCCCGTGGGGGGCTTTGCACACCATTCTCAGAACTTTGGCTTCATTCTGGAGAAAACTAGAAGCCAACTCAATATTTTATGCAGAGTAAAGATGTGATCAAGTTGCCGATTGAAAGGATCACTTGTGCTGCTGCTGTGGGAATAGACCAGTGATGGCGAACCTATGACAAGTGTGTCAGAGGTGACACATGAACTCATTTTTTGGTTGATTTTTCTTTGTTAAATGGCATTTAAATATATAAAAGAAATATCAAAAATAGAAATCTTTGTTTTACTATGGTTGCAAAGATCAAAAAATTCCTATATGTGACCTGGCACCAGAGTTAAGTTAGGGTTTTTCAAAATGCTGACACGCCGAGCTCAAAGGGTTCGCCATCACTGGAATAGACTCTAAAGGACAAGAAGAAAACAGGAAGGCCAGCCAGGAGGCTGTTGCACCAATCCAGGAGAGAGATGATGGGCGCTTGGAGCAGTGGATGTGGTAAGAATTGGACAGATTCTGGGTGTATGTTTCTGTAAAACCAACAGGAGTTTTCTCATTGTTTAAAAGTGGAGGTACAGGATAAAGAGAGAAAGGTAAGATGATTCCTGGTTTTCTTTTGTTTGTTTGTTTGTTTTTTAAGATGATTCCTGGTTTTATGGGCGAAGCAACCAGAGGGGTTGGTGAAGCCATTCACTGCTTTCCATGGGTCAAGTGTTGGGAACAAAGTCAAGAGTTCAACACATTTGAATTAAGTCTGGATTTTGCTCTCACTTTTCTTCAAATTTATTATGAGACTTTAATTCAATTTTAAAAAATCTTCTTGATATTAGGCCTCAAAGAATGATGATGCATTTTAAAGTATTCTATAAAATGATTCGCAAAATTAGCCACTGCACAACAGCGAAACAGGTTTCAATGCAGAGGGCCCAGAGGCAGCATGTTTGCCAATGGGTTGGAGGACAGAGGTACCAAAAACCTTGATGAAATTGCATGAAAAGCAGATAAGGGAACATCAGGACTGAACCTTCTAGAAAATAACTTTGGAAAATACATAATGTCTTTCTAAAATAATTTAGAGCATGACGTATACTTTTTATTGCATATGCCAATTGACATTTAGAAATTGGAACTGATATGGCCAAATTTCTTAGGGTCTCAGTTTGCTTATCTCAAAATGGAACTCACCGATCTTTAAGGTGTTTATTTAGGATCAGGTGTTTTTTTTTTTTAATTCATATATAAATACATCACAGACTCTAAAGTGCTATAAAATATTTCTGGAGTCAGAGTACCTATGAGAAAATTATTTTTCCTTTGATTCTGTCTAGGTTTTCTGGTCATGTGTATAACTAGGATGAGCATATATCAAGGAGACACTGATATGACCAAAGGCAGAGTCAGAATTTACTAATATTATTTAAAAATTCCTCAGAAACCTTTCTACTACAGTTTTAATAACGAGACTATTTATTGTATGGCACACATCATTGACATTCTGTGTTCTTGCTCATAAAGTGCTTTCACCAATAAATGCATTTGATCCAGGTATTATAAAGAACTTAATGTTTTTTACTCAGCTATTCTGTCATGTAATAGGGTTCTCAGAATGCTAACAGTTTCCTGCAGCTATGGAAATGATTTTTTTTCATATCTAGTTGGTTAGAATACTCATATGCATTTGTTCAGTTGTAATTATATCCCGATCTTTCATCAGAGCATTA